TTTTTTTATGTATTATGGAGAAATAACCTTATTTAAGTATTAATCGATATTATTATTCGCTATTACTATTCTGACTACTTCATAAAATGAAAGACTTCTGAGATTCCTTCCAAAATCGTTGATTGCTGGGTAATACTAACAACACTTTGCTTGCTTCGCTAGGAAAAAAAACTTTTCAACTTATCATCGAGTAGATTGGTTTTGAATAGGCTTCACAGCGTTGTTGGAACGTTTCTTTGAAGAACCACATCGTTCTTGCCAGTTCTTCTCCTTCAGTCCTTCTCATACTTGTATATTTATTGATTTATTTATTTACTTATTTATTTATGCGTTCTATGACGCATGTATAAATATATATGTATATGTATGTAACTCCACACTGCTTTTTTACTCCGACGACGAGTGTACAGGGCCATTTTTGAGAGATACGTCTTCACATTCCAAAATTACTCTTTGTAGTAGTTTCTATACCGTAGTAATCTCATCCGGCAGCGGCGTCATCTACCTATGCAAGGTGTTAAAGGTTTTTGATGAGAGCCAAGTGCGTGGCGCAATTCAGAATTAATTCAAGATAGAGGTAGAATTTCATTTGATTGCGTGACAGTTGTTTATGGTGGGGCAATCTCTGAAATTGGCTTTTTTGTTGTAGCCTTTTTTGTTTCCGTTATACTACGCCTCAGTGGAGCCTAATTACAGAGCTTGAAACAGGCGCCGCCGGCTGGATGTGTTTGTTGCTGTGAAGCCAGTCAAACTTGATGAACGTTTTCAGCGTTTACTGCTTTCGCTATGAAATCACATGCGAATCGCCATAGTGATGATGTACATTTGCAATCGTTATATCCAACGTCTAGGCGTGTGTGTATGTGTATGTGCGTCAGTCTGCTATGCCTCAGCCAGGCAGTGGCAGCTGCCGGCTGTTGCTGCCCCTGAGTCGCTGAGGTATTTTTGAGCCCGAACTTCACATGCATGCAGCACTCACAAGCAATTTCACGTTATATCATGCCAATCCGCATAAATCAATTTTTTGACGCGTTTTTTGGAATTTTCTTGACCCAATTTTTCGTCTTGTGTTGAATGCTAGGCAATGTTTGGGTTATTACTTGATCAAAAAATGAAATATTCAGTAAAATCAAGTATTAGGCTCAATAGTAAGCGCACTTCCGGTAAGAGTAATTCAGAAAATTTGGATGGAGATGCAGTTTTGTGGCTGTGCAGATTTGTAGTTGTAATTTTTTGAATGATTAGTGATCTGTTGACACCTCGAAGGGAATATTCAGTGGGTAAGCATATTATAAACTATTGTATTAATTAAATAGTGATTTTTCTTTAGTCAGTAGAATAGGTTCCACTTCAGATAGACTCATTCTCATTCATAAACTGTTGTAGTTTACTTTACTGTCGAAGAGTGGAACTGCATTGAACGTCAACAGTCGCTCGATTCCAATTTACTGCAGTAGTTGAATTTACAGAACTTTAGAAGAGTTACTTCAAATGTCCTGTGCAGAAAGTTTGTCAACGAATATGCCCATTGTTTGCCATGAAAAAACTCGTCCGCAGGGATTTTATGTTTTCAATTCGATGCTATTTCTAATCTGACGAGAGCGTTTTTGAAGCGGTGGACGGCACTCAATGAGGGCACTTCTGCAAAGGGACTGGAAAAGACTTTTCATCCAAAACATTTTGGTTCCTTTCA